GGGGGGGGGGCGGGGAGCTATTGTTGGGTGAAGTGAGAGTGATCACCTTCAAGGTATCTTTCAGCTCTGATTTTCTGAGCTCATTAGCTCCACAGGACCAAATTATCCTAATAGAACATATAAATACGCTGCTCTCGGCCCCCTGCCATGTCCATGGTTCTAAAACTAGAGCCTGAGACAATGCTATTCCTGCTTCCTCTTAAGGAAGAAAGCACTTCCCATCCTTGCTTCATTTTAGGGATGTGCTCTCCCAAGGTCTGAGGTCTGCTCTGCTGCCCCCTCTGATTTCCAAAACTGGATCCACATGTAGCCCCTTAATGAACTCGTCACTCATTAATTGGCCCAAAGTCAAATAAATGAAGCACCTGCGTATTGGCACCCACCATCATTTCTGTACACTGAAGGCAGGTTTGAAATGTAGCTTCATCCAAAATACCCCAAAGTTTTAGAGATCTTTTTTCCTCATTGGTTCATCTAATAAAGATTTCTTGTGGGACAATATTATGGAAGTTCCAGAGCTGAGTCCCTAGGTTAAAGTAGTTAATAAATAAGTTCTTGCTTTAATAAGCATTTATAGTGAGAGGGCCATTAAAGAAGAGAGCTTGGGTGGCACTATCTGGTAATCAGTGGACTGCTAACTGCAAGGTCAGTGGTTCAAACTCACTAGCCACACCATGGGAGAAAGATGAGGGTATATACTCTGATAAAGAATGGAAACCCATCACTATGAATTGGAATCGACCTATGACAGTGGGCTTTTTGGACAAGTTGGGGCCATGGTAGACAGCCAGGCATGACTAGATAGTATTTTTGCCTTTGCAATCTTTATTAACTTTGCTTAAAACCATGCAAACAACTCAGAACACTAAACTATGGAAATATCACGTCAAGACCAGTTCCTAGCCCTTCCCGTCTAACCAAAATGACTACCCTCAACCCCATCCTGGCCACTGCCAAAGTCTGTACAATTAAATCTTTAGTTAAAATTGTGATAAGTGTTTCTGAAAGAAAAGTACAAGGAACTCTGAGACAAGAAGAGTTTCCTCATCTTAAAAAATAATGTTAAAAATCGAATACCTTTATGGAGGACTAAGTTAATCGAAAGTCTTACAGTAGTGCTTATCTCATGGCATTAGCCATTACTATTATTATTTATAATTTATTATTGTTTTAACAAAATGCCTTGATAATTATTGGCAATTGGGATGTGAAAGTTGGAAAGAAAGAGGCATGAACAATAGTTGGGAAATAGGCCTTAGTGATAGAAAAGAAGTTGGAGATCTCAAAATAAAATGGTGAGAGCTCAAAGATTGTTGACATTGCAAATCCTTTTTGTCAACAACACACAGAGCGACTATCCCTGTTAACTTCAGCAGATGGAGCAGGCAGGACTCCAGCTGATGCATCCGCAGGAAGAGATGACGGAGATGCTCAATGTCAGCAGGCAGAACAAAGATAGGTGCTGATTGGGGAACAAACCATTAATTGCTCATATGCAAATCCAGGTTGAAGCTGAAAAAAATTAAAACAAGTCTATGTTTTAATAGTGCCAAACTATAAGCTACAGTATATCCCACCTACATTCTTAAAACACCTCAGCATTTGATTCTGAGAAAATTTATGACCGAAGACGTGATAACCTGAGGGATGACATCCAGAACATCATACCTGAAGGGAGCAAAGGTCATTAAAGAAACAATAAAGAAAGAAAATGTCAAACTAGATGTCAGAAGAGACTGAAACTTGCTCTTGAAGGTAGAGTGGCTAAAGAAAATGAAAGAAATGATGAAATAAAGGAACAGAACCAAAAATTTCAAAGGCAGCTCAAGAAGAAAATGTAAAGTATAATGAAGTATCCAAAAACCTGGAGTTGGAAAATCCAAAAGGAAGAACACATTCAGCGTATATCAGGCTGAAAGAACTGAAGGAAAAGGTTAAGCATCGCATAGTAATTTTAGAATATTCTATGTGCAAAATATTGTCTGATGCAGAACACATCAAAAGAAGATGGTAATGGGGGGGGGCATAGGAAGCTTATAACAATGAGTATGAGAAGAAAATGTTCTGAAATTGATGGTGGTGATGTTTCCACAAATCAACTTAACATGACTGAACAATTTGTACGATATGTGAAACAATGCCAATACAACTATTTTTAAAATAAAATAACAATAAAACAAAACAAGAAGATAGATGAAATACACAGCATCCTTCTGTCTTGGTAGAAGTACAGCTAGAATACTCTTTAGAAACAAGGATGGTGAGACTTCATCTCACATACTGTAGACATGTTATCAGGAGAGACCAGTTCCTGGAAAAGGATATTATGCTTCATAGAGATGAAGATCAGCGAAAGTGAGGAAGACCTTCAACAAGACTGACAGAGTGGCAGCAACAAC